CCAGACAGGTGTCTGTTGGCTGCCAATGGAATGTGGTGGGAGGACGATGATTTATGTCTTGCCCACATGGATGAGGATTGGGGGAGCAATAAAAAAAAATATTAGAGCATTTGAGAAACAAGAGAGGATAATAGTAAAGAGAATTTGTTGTCATTATTTATTTATTTCAAAAAAATTCCAAAACCTTCCAAACGAAATAATTTTATCGAAACGAAATTTCAATCCATGTCTAAGAATAATTATAAGAAACTAAAAATTGATCATAGAATTTAAAATGAATATATACGAATAGGGTCATATAGCCAAACAAATTCTATTAAATATCGTATGTTCATTTATATTGACTTGTGTTCAGTTTTGTATTTAATTTCTGTGTTTGTAGCACAATTATAACCATTTTTTTTTTATTTTTTTTGGTTTCTCCATCTGTATCTATTCAGCTTCCCTTTTTTTGTTTTTTTAAAAGCATGTGTATGTGGGTTTGATAATGTTGTATGTTGCAGTGATCTGTTCAGCTGAAGGTAAGAATAGCATAATGAACCTTACACACAGGATGGTCAAGAACTTGTGTGCAAACTTAACCATGGAACATAACCAACTGGATATTCCTCATCTATCTGAAGTCAACAACAACAGTGGATTTCGAGTCTCCTTTCGCAAGAACACTGGACTAATCGGCCAATCCGATGGCTTCATCGTCACTGCTGCTACCTCCCTTTGGCTCCCTCTCTCATCTCAAGCTCTCTTTGGTTTCTTCAGAGATGAAAAAATGCGAGCTCAGGTTCGTTTGCAAATATCTCAAAATCGTTTTGGGCAATTTCACTTTTTATCCCTATACATTACATTTTATTCCATTTTTTTAATTGTTCTAGTCAACTCTTTTGATTTCGAGTCAAGTTGTAATTAGCGCCATTCATATAACATTGTTTTAAGGATAAATTATACAAATAGTTCCTATAGTTTGGGATTTATATCACTTTAGTCCTTCATTTTTCAATTGTGACACATTTGACCTTAAATTTTGAATCTTATTCTAAATAAAGACAACTGAATATATAATTAGATTTTTCAAGGGTAAAATTGTCAATTTGATAAAATATAAACTAATTTGACAAAAATAAATATCAAACAAATATTTTTGAATTTTTAAAAATTATTTCTACCTACTAAAAATAAAATTATATAAAATTTATAAATCTTTTAGACTTTTTTTTTTATCAAATTAATTTTTATTATGTGTTTGGATGATGATCATGTAAAATTAATTTTAAAAAAATTAATCATGTATTTTTTATTAATTTTACATAATTTTATCATTGGTGGATAAAAATAATTTTAAAAAAATTAAAAATATTTTTTTGACAATTATTTTTGTCAAGTTAGTTTATATTTTATCAAATTGACGATTTTACCCTTGAAAAATATAATGATATTTTCAATTGTCCTTTTTTAAAACAAGATTCAAAATTCAGGGTCAAATATGCCACAATTGAAAAATCAGGAACCAAAATGACACAAGTCCTAAACTATAGAGACTACTAGTGTAATTAACCCTTATTTTAACATTAATTATAATCATGTGATAATATTATTTACACATTGCACTTGTATGCCAGTACTTTAATTAAAATTTTACTTTATAATCTTTCCGCTTTAATACCACTGTTGGTTTTCAAATAGTATCATACAACTAGGATAATTTGTAACTTAACTCTGAAATCTAGAAAGCTTACTGGAACAATTAAAATGGCTCAGGAGCAAAGTAGAATCAAGCATAAAGTACAAGATTACAAAGTGAAATTGGTCAAACTAATTTTTATCATTTTGTTTATTTATTTTATTTTTTACATTTAACTTTTTTAAAGGGGATGCACCAATAAATTCCAAATTAATAACTTATGCACTGTTTAGTCCTAAAAGTTTTCTTATAGACTGAAAGGTCCCATTACAATGTTAATAACATCAGATACAATGTTAATAACATCAGAGTCATGTTACAAACATTGGATTTCAAACATCTAATGTTCATCAAATTTCAATAATGTTTGAAAATATAGGATGAAAAACATCTAATGTTCATCAGATTTCAATAAATTTTGAAATTATAGAATGAAACATCAGATCATTTACATCATTCACATCATGTTGATGTAAAAATGGGACTAAATAGAATATAAAAAAACTTTTAAGACTAAATCGTTCAACGTTTCAAAAACTAAGACTTATGGATAAATTTTCCTTTTTTAAAATCTTGACGGTAATGTGGATTATTAACCGTTGGGATTCGTTTGCTTTGTGTACCAGTGGGACGTGCTCTCTAATGGGAATCCATCCCAAGAAATTGCTAGTATCTCATACGGAAATCATCCGGAAAATCGTATATCTATCCTTCAGGTAAATTATTATTATTTTGTCTATTCATATTGTCGGTAAAAATTTAGTTTAAGACTAATCGTCAGTAATTAATTGATAGACTTAAATTAATTTTAAATAAACATAAAAAGATGATTTTGCGATTGAATTCTATACATTAATTAGACTAAGGATTTCCCTAGAGGTTGTCAAGTGAAAAAGAGATAGAACAAAACATAATATGTATTTATTCAAATAGATTGTCACTTGCTATCAATTACAAGAACTTAAACAAGAACAAAGAATTGAAAAATACAACAATTGACAGAAGAAAAGAAATAGGTGTTAGAAAAAACTACCACTTAATCTATTCCTAAAATTACGAACTTGACTACTCCTAAACAAATTTCACAATTTGTGAGTTTGTGGATTAATTGATGTCTTTCTTCTAGGGGTGAGCATGGTTCGGATTAGACCGGATTGGAATAAAATCAGGACCAATCCGTTATCTACAGTTCGTGAAAAATTGGAACCAATCCAATCCGTTTAAATCATGGTACCAATCCGAACCAATCCATTTAAATACAGATTGGATCGGTTTAGGACTACGGATTCACATAATTAAATAACAAAAAAATATATATAACACTTTAATTTCATAAAAATATAAACATAGCGCTATATTAGTTCCATAATAGCAACATCTATTTCTATAATAGCAACATACTATGCTAGAATTTAAACAATCATAAGAAAATTGGTTTCACCATAAATATTTAGACTATTACAAGTTAAAACTAAAAACTAACAAACAAAAGTAATAAAAGAAGATATTATATGGTTTTAGGTTTGAGTTTAGATTTTATATAGAATAAGAGAAGATAATATGGGAGAGGATGTATAATAAAAATATATACTATTTGTATACGGTCCGGATCGGTTCCAATCCGGAACTGTGGGGTTCAATCCGGAACCAATCTGTACTACGGATTTTTAATTTTTCAATCCAGAACCGAACCACGGATTCAAAAAATCAATCCAAACCTATTTGATTGGACTGGATTGGATCAAATTACGAATTTCACGGATTCCTTACTCAACCCTACTTTCTTCCTTCGTCCAGTCCTCCTTTTATACTTTGTTGTGCCCATCTTCAATGTAGTTATCTTCCCTGATTTTCTCTTCTTTTGAATTCTTATCCCAACATTTTAGGAACTATTTCAAACTTTCACTCTTATCCTGATTTTCAATCCCTGATTCTTGACAGCCACCAACTGATCTTTAAATTCAAAAATTCCCCTGGCAATCTCCATCTTTTGCCAACAAACTATTCCATGTGCCACCTCATCATGCCATGTCAGCAACCACACCATGTCAACAATCTATTGATGGGAAGTTGACAAATTTTAGTGCCAAGAATGCCCCCTTTCATTCAAGGTAAAAATATTTTGCCTTGAATGATTAAATTCTAACCCCATCGACAGAAACAAAAGCCCAAAAGACCTTATTTTCTTCCTAACCACTTCTAGGCTCAGAATCCTTCAATATATTTCGGCCTCTAGACAACTTCTAGGCCCAAATGCTTCTAGGTCCCTTGACAACTTCAATTTATGCTTTTATCCTACTTAGGCCCCACACAAAGGTACTGAAGGATTTTGAACTCTCCCTCTTCAATACTCTAACTCGTCAAACTTCTCTCTGCTTTTGAAAAACCAAAACCTTAGCCTTCAATCCATGGCTTCTAATCCAAACACTGATCTAGTTCGTTGATTTCCTCATGAAGCCGTCCAACTCATTGGAAAGAATAAGTTCAACTCGCAAATCACTCCTATCCTTGTTACTGGTGCAGGAGAGCTTGGTCCTCGTGTTCAAACCACTTTTCTAGATGGTCTATCTCCTTTCTAGCATGTTGCTGATGGCGAAATTCTCTTTCTAAACCAGTTTTCTCTTTCATGGCTCAATTGGTTGACAAGCCTAAGATCATGGCCTAAACCGACCGACACGTGGATATCTTAGGTGAACAGGATGACCACAGTCGAAGGAAACATGTGGCACAAACTAGGCATCTACCGTGCCATTCAACTATCCACTATACCCTTCGAGATAGACCCATGGCTTATCGGTGCTGCCCCTTGCTTTTGGTCCACTTCTTACAACTCCATGATGCTTGGGTCTGGTATGGTTTCTCCCATCATTCTTGGCATAATGCACTTCACTGGCCTCCCTACTTATGGCCAAGACATTCATGAACTTCTTGAAACTCTTGAAGTCAAACATGAAGTTAAGATAGACAATTATGACAAGTTTATTTCAAACTACTCCAAGAAAACTGAAGTTCCTACAGTCACTGAGAAGATTGCTTTCTACCTATGTTGGATATGCCAGTCTCTTTTTTGTGTGGTTGACTTTAGAGTTACCAAGGAATATCTTACTCTTACCCTTCTCATCTAAGAAGGCAAGCAACTAGCATGTGTCCATTTTCTTCTGGTTCAACAACTAGTTCAATTTCTAGCTCACCTTGCCTTTTTTTCATCAACTGGGTTGTCAAAATCCTTTATCTATGTAGGCTTGAAATTCTTCAGGAGTTATGCTTCTTCCTTGTGTCTTTAATTCTTCAAAAACCACCTCAACTAGCCCCAAACTCTTCTCATATAATGCTGCTTCTGTGTTATTACTATTTGCCACAAAAGTATTAGCATCAGCCCAATAAAATTCCATGTCATCCTTCTTACTCTGCTTGTCTCTTTCTTGACTGGTTAGAAAAAGAGGGTTTTATGTATTGTTAAGTCTAGTTGCTGTCAATGCTGGTTTGGATGCTAGCTTTGTGGGTGCTAGTTTAGTTTCTTCTTCACAGCAGCAGCTTCCATTGGTTTAGCTGCAATTGTTATTTCTCAGGTTCTCAGCTTTGTTTTGTTTTGAATGCAACATAGCTCTGTCTTGGTGGTTTTAAGCAAATCTGCAGGTTATAAGCATCATAAGATGATCTGGTTGAACTTGGTGAAGTTCTGGTGCATGTCTTGGTGTTAGCCCTGTTATGCTTTTCTGGGGCTGCTCTGTATTGTTCTGTTGCTTGTCTTTTGTTGTTCTGTTTCTTTGTTTAGCTCTATTTGTTGGTTTCTCACCAATTGGAGCTTAGAGCTTGGAGCTTGTGTTAACTTCAAACTCCTCTTTATTGATGTTTTTCTCATACTTTGTATGCTCTCATTTTGCCGTTCAAAAAATAAAAAACAAAATAAATGTAATGAGCATGGCACACATCCATTTAAGTGAATCCAATCCCTTCCAAGCAACAAGTTAAGTTAGAAGTAGAGTCCACCATAAAGAAGGTTGTGCTCATGGCTTTTGCACCAATTTGCAGCTTAAGTACTATCACTCCCTTGGCATCAGAAGACCCCACTGCAAAATTACTGATAGAAATGTTAGTAGGCATCTTCAATGTTTTAAAAGAAAGAATATTAACAATGGCCCCATTATCAACTAGGACCCTATTAACAGGATTCAAATGCACTTGCACATGTAAAGGTCTGAGATACATAATCAACTCCTCCCTACGCTTTTGCATTGCCACTTGATCCGCATTGACAGACTTAACCACCTCTATTGATCTTACTACTTTGCCTTAGGTTTTACTATATGGGCCATTGTATCTATTAGATCCTCCACATCTCTAGCCAAGTGTACTAGCTGATTTGGTTTGGCCTAAGAATGACCATGACCACATTACAATCAGTGAGGGAAAAACTACTAAACTGAATTTTCATTTCCCCTCAAAATCTCCAGAACTTTTAGATTTAACTTCATCATTATCCATGTCAACAGGTTTTGCCATCTTGATCGCTAGAGCCACCTCTTGGCTGCCCTTTAAGGCTTCATCATCAATATATAGTTCTTTTTCTAATTCCATAATCCTCTGTCTTAGTAAAGCTTCATTTGTTATGCGTATTGGCTTTTCTTCTTGTGCTATAATTGGTTTAGAAGCCACCTCTGTAATGTTCCCAGAGGTCAATACTACTGCATCTCTTGGGGCATAAGTCTTTTCACCTCTTTTCTCCCTAAACCATGTCATGTTTTGAATTCTTGGTGGTCTTATGCCTTGGCTTTCAAGCCTAGACATCATTGCATGGAACTTCTTTTACTCTCTCATTTTTTTGAGTTCTTGTTTCTCCTATAGGTCTCCAATTATCCCTAGGGAACTTTGGATGTACCATTAATTACCATCTATAATGTGGTGGCACTGAAGGCTTGATCATTCTAGGTTATTCCAGTTTGGTTCTCTTGCTCTTGTTTTGGGGTACTGCAAATGTGCTGGGCCACTATATGGCCTGGCACTAACTCCCTGTTTCTCCTCTGGCCTCTTCTCTAGGCCATATGAAGATGCACCATATGTTTTGGCCTCTTGATTTATATACCTTGATTCCTTCAAAAGCCTCTGTGTCCTAAAACTCTTAACTTGGCCACCTTGCTCTTATTGCTCATGTTGCCTTAAATATGCTCTAACAACACTTGCATCATCCATACAAGGGTTCATTGGCAACCCTTGATAAAGAAAAGGTTCATCATGCTCTTTATAATCTGCCACATCTGACCTAAAGATACCTGGATCCACTCCACCATATAACAATTTTGCTTCATTGAAAATTTGCAAACCATTATGGCCTATGGTGTTAAACCTTAGGCCACAATCCTTTAATTGTTTCTGCAGTTTGTTAGCTACAATAGCTTGTGCCTTCTCCCTCTCAGTCCTATATTAGAAGCAAACAAACTAGTCCTGATAAATGGTTGGCTTCTTTCCTTCAGCTAACAACCCCTTCCTCAAGTTATGAGCTCTTTCCAACTCACTCAACAACACCCTTGGATTCATACTCTGATTATTCAGACTGGTAGACACCATATTTATGTCCACCACCTCTGGAAAAGGGTTTCCATTGACAACCATGACTCCTTTATCTTTTTCAGCATACTTCAGCATCCCATTCTGCATCAGGTCCTGCATATAATTGAGAAAAGTTACACAATTATTAGGTGAATGCCTGAATGAATTGTGCCATTTACAATACTCTTTGCCAATTCTATCCTTTTCCTTTAGGATACTATGGCCAGGGGTTAAAGTAAAAAATTTACTAGCTAATAACTCATCAATCAAAACATTTGCCTTTGAAAGGTCAAAGGAGTACTATTGATGGTTTATTGACACATTTTTTCTGGCTGGATAAATTAAAGGCATGTTTACTGGTTTCTTTGCTTTCCTTAAAGTCTCACAGGTCATTCGTGTTTTACCAATTATCTGGGCAATATCTATATCCATTTTCATTTTGAAATTCAATGTCTTGGTAATAAGTTCCCAATGAGGAAACTTTCCGTTACTGTTCCTCCCTAAGGATAAATACATAACTAGTTGCCCGAGATGAAAGTTTAAACAAATCTGTAAACTTCATTCCCTCAAACTTCTTTCTTAACTCAAAATCAAGGCCATTCTGGGCTAATCTTATTACATCTATCTCAGGCATATAAACATGGCACCTATTTCTAGCTTTTTTAAATCTGTCGATGTATTGTTCTGCTGATTCACCTTACTTTTGTTTAAATTTAGCTAAATCTACCATACTTCTATCATGCTCAGTTTTGTAAAATTGTGCATGGAATTTGTTTTCCATGTCCTGCCATGTAGGGATTGAGTTTGTTAACAAGTTAATGAACCAAGTAAAAGCCACATTTGACAGTGAATGTGGGAAAAGTTTAAGTTTTGAGTTAGCCTCCACACACTGCAAGGTAAACCTCCATATATGCTCTACGGTCAATTGTCTCTCTTTTCCTATGAATAAGGAGAATTCAAGCATTTTAAAGTTTCTAGGGAGGGGGGTTTCATCCACCAAATAAGGATATGGTTTCCTGAACATTGGCCTATTAAGCCTCCTTAGGCCTGGGCCATACATCTTCTGAATTACTTCTATTATTTGGTGCCTATTAATCTGGATAGGCTCAAGGTTTGGTCTTCATTATAGACACCAAACCCCATTCCTTCATTCATTTGTGGTTGGGGATTTGGGGCAACAAACTTGTCATAAGGTTAAAAGTACTAGTGTTGAGGAGGTTGATAACAATAACCCCCTTCTTCATAATATTGAAGGGGCGACCCAGGTCCTCTAGGCTTGAGGCTTAGGTCTTTGATTACCTCTTGGCGTGGGGTTCTCATAATGTGGCTGCCTAAACCTTTGATCAGCAAATTGTGATTTTTTAGCCTTGGTCTATCGATGACAGGCTCCTCATACCCTGGGGCCCTAAACTGCCCCCTAGCATAGACCTAACCTTATGACTTATTAGCTCTTCATAAGCTAAAGGCCAATTCTGCCCCCTTTGAATTGGTTTGTTTCTTTCTTCGTTACCTAACTCAAAAATTGGGTTATATTGGGTCTTCCCTTTTATGGCCTCTCTGTGAGTAGAAGGCCTTGAGGGCCCATATTGCTCTCCAAAATTGTTTTTAGTTTTAGTCTAGTTGTATGTTTGGTTTGAGCTCATTTGAAACTTTTCTTGCTCCTCCTCTTAAAGAGTTGGAGGTCTATAAAAAAACGTATTTCCTTGTTGAAATTTACTTGTTTTAGGGGTCTGAAACTGTACCTTGGTCACTTGTGGCTCCACCTTGGTTGGGTATGGGGGATCAGGAGTAGGATTGAATCCTCCCAGTATCTTGAATTTGGCCTTTAAGCTTTCTGTGAATTGTTTAGGCCTTATTTCGAATGTCTAACTAAGCTGAGCAATCATTTCCTCCACTTGCTCAGATGTTAGGCCATGATATTGGCCTCCATTAGTTGTATCGTGTCTATCTTTTAGGCCTTCTCCATACTTGGTTGCCACTGATTAGTTGTCCCTAATGACTTCTATATCCTCTCCAAACTCAAGAAAAACAGCAAGAAAACCTGTGTCTTTAATAGGCCTCTTACTTGGATCCTTAAGAAGGCCTGATTCATCCACAACTCTCTTACTAGCATCAATAGTCTAGTTTTCTCCACTTTCTTCTTCACTATTACTCCAAGTTAGAATGGTCCCATTGGACGTGCTAATTTATGTTAGTAAAATTTGATTTAAGCCTAATCGACGGTAATTAATCAACAGACTTAAATTAATTTAAATAAACACAAAAAGATTAGATTCTGTAGTTGAATTCTATGCCTTAAACAGATTAAGGACTTTCCTGGAGGTTATCAAGTGAAAAAGAGATAGAATATAATAGAATATGTATTTATTCAAATAAATTACTAGTTACAAAAACTTAAATAAGAACAATGAATTAAAAAATACAACAATCGACAGAAGAAAAGAAATGGGGATTGGAAAAAGCTACCACTTCATCTACTTCTAAAATTGCTAAGTTGACTACTTCTAAACAGATATCACAATTTGTGAGTTTGTGGATTGATGGATGCCTTTCTTCCTTCATCTAGTGCTCATTTTATATTTTGTTTTGCTCATCTTCAATGTCTTTCCTGATCTTCCTTGATCTTCTCCTCTTTTGAATTCTTATCCCAATATTTTAGGAACTATTACTTTCGCTCTTATCATGATCTTTAGTCCCTGATTCTTGACAGCCACCAACTGATGTTTAAATTCAAAGATTTCCCTTGCAATCTCTGTCTTTTTCCAACAAACCATGCCATGTGCCACCTCATCATGCCATGTCAGCAACCACACAATGTCAACAATCTGTCGATGGGAAAAGGATAAATTTTAGTACCAAACACACACACACACACATATATATATATATATATATAAAATATATCGAAGAATTTTCATTTTAAAATAGAGTACTCATTTAAATAACATTTAATAACAAAAATGTTATTGCTATTATTGTGATAATTTTTTATTTATTTATTAAAAGTTGTGTAAGAATAGTAAGTATTTTTCTTAATTTTTCTTCTCTAGTTACAGCATGGAGTCTAAGAAAACCACATGAAACAGGACATGTAAAAACATTAATTCTAATTCATTAAGTATGGTAGAAAGTAAGTCCTGGCAATGGGTCAGGCCTAAAACTTAAGGCCCAACCTCATCGACTGTCACCAATCAACGGACAGACTCAGGCTAGCCTATGCAATATTTCTAAAACCCAGCCCTTCCCATGAGCTTGAAAATATGGGCTTGGGGTAGGGCTGGCTGGTCCACATGAAATTCTGAAGTGCATAAAATTTTAAAATTTTAAAAATTATAATATGAAATTTTGAAGTGCATTACAATCATTAGAATTAAATATTGAATCATGAAAAATAAATAAACTTCACTTTATTTATTAAAAATACATAATTACATTCATTATGATTAAATTATTAAATAATATGCATCTTTAATCTCGTAAAAATATAGTTATTAGTTTTTTAGTTGCTGTACTACTCACTTGGTTCATCAATATTAGTCTTAGTATTTTATTAAAAATGCATATGTGCATAAAAAAAAAACAAAAAAAAAATAAAAAGAAAGAGAAAAAAAAATAAATATATATATATATATATGGGCTGAATATGGGCCTTTGGCATGGGATTTTGGGCCATACCCTGAAAATTCCATTGGGCAAGGCCATGGGGCCCAAGTGTAGCCCATATATTTTAAGGTCTGGGTGGCCCATCCTTAGGCTTGATGTATTATCTTCTTGAACATTGATATTCATTAATAAAAAAATTTTCTTTGACGATAATAAAATTAATTAATTAATTAATTAAAAAAAAATAATTGACGAGGTTTATTGTTGAAATAAGAATTGTACAACAAATCAAGACCTATGGATGCTATGATGCCTCACGGAACGTCTTTTTTCCTTACTTTTTCCTTAGTTTAAAAAAAAAAAAAAAATTCAAGCAATCAAATATAGCTCTTTAAAAGTTTTATTAACCAATTTTGTTCCTCTTATTTGTATTTGGTGGTGATTATTCTTGTTGCACTATAATTAGATTTACACACTTTCATAGCATTAGTTGGTATAAACAAAATTATTTAGTTCAAATAACTACAATTAATGAAATTCATTTACATTATTTGTCTCAAACAGCCTCTGATTACCTGTGACAACAACATGCTTGTGGTTCAAGAAACCTGCATTGATCCTCTTGGAACAATAGTGGCATATGCACCAATTGACCTAAAATGTCTGGATATGGCAGCAAATGGTGTGGATTCTTCCAACATACCAATACTTCCATCAGGAATCATAATCTCCAGTGATGGCCATCCAATTCTTGCCACCAGAGACGGTGCTTCAACTTCAAGCGCAACCACCACTGTCACTGGTGGTGTTGGTGGTTCCATTCTCACGGTGGCTTTTCAGATACTGGCGTGTGAGGCGTCATCTTCCAAAAAGTTGAACATGGAGTTTGTGAGTAGCATCAATGCTCTTATTAACTCCACTGTTCAGAATATAAAGTCTGCTTTTAATTGCACTGGGCTTTGATTGACCTCTCTTGCCTCTTGGTGGTTTGATGGATTTGTCATTTGTGTTTGATTTTTGTCATGGATTATGATTTTTTTTTTCTTCTTTTTTTCCATTGACAGAATGGTTTTTAAGCTTTAGAAAAATTTAGTGGGGACAGATAAATATTTTTTTTAATTGGCAATTGAGATAAAGATTTTCTTTTGCCGATTAAAAAAAAAAATTTGGACAAAGATTTGATGCTTATATTGTCTATTATATGGTTCTTTTATGAAACCGCTCTCATGTTTTGGTTTGTTTAATATTTTTTGTTATCACCTTATGAATTCTATATTCAAATAGCATAATTACATTACTAGTGTTAATGTACACTAAACCTAACCCACTAACCTAACCCACTACATCCACCCCACTAAACCTAACACACTTACCATCTCCACTACCACCCACCACCTCCACTACCATCCACTACCACCACTCACTTACCTCACACCTCTCCTATATAATAGCTTGTAACATACAAATCAAAATATACAACAATCTTGTAATACATCAATCAATAATATACATCAATTTGTTTTACATGGTATCAGAGCAAGGTTAAGAACCTGGTCATTCTGCTTCACCGGCGGGCGGCAGCCTCGCCTTGGCCGCCCGCCGGACCTCTACACATTCCCTAGCTTCCTCTATCTCAGTCACTGTCCTAGCCCCTCCCTCGGGCCTGGTCTCTCACTCTCTCTCTTCGGGGTGTGTATGTTGGGTCTCTCTGGCAGCAGACGTAAAGTGCCCCTGTGCCCAGCTCCGCCACCACGCTGATTTGGATTGCTCTTTAAGTGGTGGCACCGTTTGTTTCAGGACTGTATTGGTCGGGAAGGACTTTTCTTGGACACCATTTGTGTACCGTTTGCAGGTCTGGCCATCTTCTGGGTCGACCCGGACCACCGTCTCCCCCACCTCTTGTCGGAGCCCTCAGAGTCGCTCTCAAGGACCTGGTTGACCCCGACGCTTCCACCCGCCTCCGCACCTTCGAGCTACGCCGCCCCTCCGGCCCCCCCAGGGCCCGATCCGCATCAAGCTCGCCGTCCGCGAACGCCCTCTCCCAGATTACCATATTCCCCCTCCGACCTGCTATTATTACTCAACTGCTCCTCCCTCTCCACCTCGCGACTTCCGGGGATACACTTCTCTGCCTCCACCTTCAATATCTGGATTCCATACTCTTGATCTGAGCTACAACCACACATTGTCATGGATTATGATTTTTTTTCCTTATTTTTCATTGACAGACTGGTTTTTAAGCTTTAGAAAAATCTAGTGGGGACAGATAAATATTTTTTTTAATTGGCAAGTGAGATAAAGATTTTCTTTTGCCGATTAAAAAAAAAAAAAATTTGGACAAAGATTTGATGCTTATATTGTCTATTATATGGCTCTTTTATGAAACCGCTCTCATATTTTGGCTTGTTTAATACTTTTTGTTATAACCTTATGAATTCTATATTCAAATAGCATAATTACATTACTAGGATCAATTGTGTTTTCTTATGGAAAACAAAATTGATTTTTTTATTTGTTTGTATTTGGATTTGAGGTTGGCACTTTGCTAATTGATGTGATCCTTGTTTCTTCTTACGTGTTTGCATATATGATTGGCTTGTTTTTTATGTGTTAATTTAATTGAAATATATGATGTATTTCTTTCACCTAGGTTTATGATTTGGGGTTACTTTTGTAATCCTATTCGTCATTAAAATTCTTTTTTCACTGATAAAAAAACATGAGAAAATTAACGGGGGAGTTGAGTGCAATTTTTGATGATTCCGGAGCCTCAAACATCCAATTATGTATTTCTTATATGGTAAGCAAATTTAACTGCGTCAACAGCTAGATTATCTAAAATTTATTCATTTGCCTCTTTTTTTATATTAATTTTCCAAGCTGATGAGCTGGTGATTTTATTGTTTCAGAAAAAAAGAAAGCGTGTGCAATTTCATAATTGATAGCAAAAACGTGGCGACATTTTTAAGAGGGCAAGTCATATTAACTCCAACACATGTAAAGAAATCACACGTACTACCAACACATGCATACCAAAGTTTTTATTTTTGAATTTGTTTTTTCTATCTATTATTTCGATGCAGACATGGATTATGCAATCTTTCTAAACACAAATATTAGCTGTGATGAAAGGGTTGTTCAGCAAAACGGTAAGGTTTGTCGTTAATATTTTTTTGGGTGAATTATATTAAAGATCTCTATAGTTTGAAACTTGTATTATTTTGATCACTGATTTTTCAATTGTGACACATTTGATCTTAAATTTTAAATTTTGTTATAAATAAGAGCAATTGAAGATACCATTACTCAATCTCAATGACAAAGTCATTAATTTGATAAATTATAAACTAATTTGACAAAAATAAATGTCAACAAAATATTTTAAAATTTTTAAAAATTATTCTATCCACCAAAGATAAAATTATATAAAATTGATAAATCTTTTACACATTTATTTATTTATTTACTAAATTAATTTTTATCCTATATTTGAATGATGATCATGCAACGGGCGATTATTTTTATTTTCATTAAATTAGTTGTTATTTTTTCAAAAATCAAATATAGCAACAACTTTGATATCATTATTAAATCAATCTATTAAATAAAAACATCCAAAACTAAAAATATTTCATATATTAAATGTATCAATTACACATTAAAATCCTAACAACCACCTATTACATGATCACCATCCAAACACATAATAAAAATTAATTTAGTAAAATAAATGTGTAAAAAAATTATCAATTTTATATAATTTTATCTTTGGTGGGTAGAAATAATTTCTGAAAATTCAAAAATATTTTTTTGACATTTATTTTTGTCAAATTAATTTATATTTTATCAAATTAACGACTTTGACCTTGAAATTGAGCAATGATTTCTTCAATTGTCCTTACTTAAAATAAAATTCAAAATTTAAAATCAAATATATTACAATTAAAAAGTTAAAGACTAAAATGAGACGAGTTCTAAATTATAAAAACTATTAATATAACTCGCTTATATTTTTTTGATAAGTTAGGTTCAAGTTACGTAATTAACTTGTCAAAAAGAAGAATAAGATTGTTAGTATCTTATCCTCCCAAACTCCATTTCAAAAGGAGTCTCATACAATGTATTGCTTTCTTCCATTTTATTTACTTTTTGGTTGGCAACTGTTTCCAGAGACGAAACTAGAATATTGTTTTAAGGGGACCAAACTTAACTGTAGAAAAAAATAAATTTTAATATAAGCTGTAAAAAAAGAAGCTAATAATAAGAGAAACTAAAAAAATAAAAGGCACTGCATAAATCTAAATTTAAATTTTATTTAGTCAAAATTTTCGCCTTAAAATACTTTGTCAAAAAAAATATGAATAGACAAAATGAGACCGACTCCATATACACTGCTCATGAGAGCACGAAACAACACCAAACAAACCCCCACACCCAACCCCCACTCTCTCTCTCTCTCTCTCTCTCTCTCTCTCTATTCGAAACACCAAAACTCGGCTCCAAACCCTAATCACATTATTGAATTCGATCAACATCAATCACAGTCCCTCCGATCTTCCATCAACGGAGCCTTGACCAGGTGAACCCAATCACTCTTATTCTTCTTCTTTCTTTAAATTTCTCTTTTTTGGATGCTCAGAAACTTCACCAGAAATTGTATGGATATTGCTTCTTGATTGACAACCAAACTAAATCTTTTTTTCCTTCTTTTTTTATTTTTTGTTTTAAAGATAGTTGGAGATCTGTCATGATTTGAATTGATCTTTTAGAATATCTTGATTTCTTGGATCTGATTGTGTTGTGTTGGAGAGACGTCCGATAGATTGGGAGTTGAGATGGATATTGATATGGATATGCAGAGGCCGCAGATGAGGCGGTTCACAATGGCAGGGTCGAGGAGTTGTAGTGTTAAGATGGGAAAGATTGATGAAGGCCTTGTGATTTTGGGATAGCAACAAAGTGTTAATGTGATTGTTTGATGTTTCTTGATCTAATTTGTGAGATTTGTATGGGTTGTGTGATTATTTCTATCTCTATCTACTCTCTCACTACATTACAGAACTACGTTCGCTGTCGCGCCCTGTCTAATTTGCATAGATAGGATGATATGTGGACTTGAGCTGTCTAAATCAAATAGTATAGGATGAATGAATGTTATTGTTGTTGACTTGGATCTGTCTAAATCAAATAATATAGGATGAATAAGTGTTATTGTTGTGGAAATTTCAACAGAAAAAGAGAAAGAACAAGATAGAGAAAATTTTGAATAGATAGTGGTTTGGTTTCAACAGATCACTCTCTCCTCTCTCTCCTCTCTCTCCTCTCTCTTTCTATATGAGAATTAGACTTGACAGAATTTTTATTTTATTTTATTTTTTTTAACAGAACGTATAGGGGGAAAATAAGCTTGTGAAATTCAACAGATAGGGGAAAATAAGCTTGAATTTCAACAGATAGAGGAAAAATTGAACAGATAAGAGAAAAAATTGAACAAACAAATACAAATTTGAACATATAGTCAAAAATTAAATAGAAAAAAAAGTCAACATAGAAGGTGTAAAATTGAAAATAAAATTTCTCCCAAAACAATAAAATATACTTCTCACCATAATATTTTATAAAAAGTGAACTTCTCTCTTACACGCGCGCGCACAAAAAAAAATGATATTCCCATATAGGGTGAGCCACAGCCCAGTAGAAATACACTAAACCAAATATGAACAATGACTAAAAGATTAGCAGTTGATAGATGGCCAACAGTGGTATTTTCTCTTATCACACTTTACAGTTTCATGACATACAAGTCCATGTTACAATTTCATCTTTCAGTTCCTTTTAAATTCTCATTTTATAACCATGGCTCAGAACCTGGCCAAACAACTCATATGAGACAATAACTCATATCAAGCATATATATATATGCAAATAATTTTGCGTCATAATGCATGCATTATGTAATATAGAAAACTAGTAGAAGATGTCTCAAAAAATTTTGGAATACCTCGGTACAACATTATGTTGTTCACAAAATATGGAATTAACTGATAATTATGAACAAGTTTAAGGGGACCATAGCACCTTGGCGACCCCCTAACTTTATAACTTTGTAAAAGAAAATTTGTTCATGGATTGGCGCTCCCTCTCTCCCCCTCGTGCTCTCTCTCTCTCTCTATTATTTTTACTTTAAAAAGTACGAAGATTATAACATTATGTTTGGTTAAAAAATTTAACGAGGGATTTAAAGAGGAAAAAGAAAAAAATATGTGAAATAAATATTTGAAATGTGAATAAAATATATCTCTACTTTACTTGATTTTACACAAATTCCAACCCCCCCCCCCAAAAAAAAAATCTCTAACACAGCGTTTAGGGATATACATGGTCCGGATTGGTTTGGTTCTGAAAAAATTCAAGAACCGAACCGATCCTAACAGTTCTGTGATTTTAAGAACCAGACCAGACCATTATACTAGTAAAACCGGACCAGAACCAAACCGAAATAACGATTCGGTTTCGGTTTGGTTCACGGTTCCAAAAATTTCTATTTACAAGAATAAATTGTTAATATTAGAAAAATAATTACTCAAACTAATTACATTTAACTCATGATAAAAAAACTAATAATATTAAGGCATTACTCAACATTACATATCTATATCATCCTAATATCATTAAAATTACAAAAAATCAATTAATGAAAATAAAACTTGATATTATATATATATATATATATCTTTTAAAATTTGGTTCGGTTTGAACCGTGATTTTTTCATAAAATCCATTAACCGAACCATTTTTACGGTTCTCATATTTCTAAAACTGAAACCGAACCGGTTCTTAATAGAACCGAACCAAACCATACGATTTGATCTGATCTGGTTTGATCCGGATTACCGATTTAAACGAATTTTTGAACAGCCCTAACAGCATTACTATTTACTACTTTATTTGTTACTTTACAAAATTCCTTCACTCACACGTTGTACTAAGCTATATGATCATTCAGCCACTACTTGTACAAAGAGTTGCACCGTTCTTGGGTTTTTTTTTTTTTTTTCATCTGTCAAAGAGTTGCAGCGTTCGGTAGACACACAAGAAACATTGCACTGATTTAAACAAAGAAAATGATATGGCAAGTTATGTCAATAACATGGGTCCGTCCAACCTTGCCGAAACCCGACCTCCCCTTTGCCTCACTCCCACCGCCATCTATCCCCTGCATCCCCTCCAACTGCCATCTTTTGTCCGGCCTTCTTCCGTCGGTTCCTCTCTCTCTCTCTCTCTCTCTCTCTCTCTCTTTATTCTTCTCTTTCTCTTGTCTGCACAATTCTCTCTCTCGTTGCATTTTTTATTTTTTTCTTAGCTGCAATTTTTTTTGAACTAGTTCTTAGCTGCAATTTGTATCCACTTTTTCTGCTTAAATCCAAGTGGTTAAATCCATCTGTAGGAACCATGTTGATAAAACAAATTGTGATGGCAGTGCCAATGGTAAGGTCAGTGTCGGAATCAAGTAACAGTACAAACTGCAATTCAACATCTATTATTAGACACGTATTTGTGGATGCACATATCGGAAACATGTGGCATGTGGTGAACAAATAGCTAAAACTTTTGGGATCATAGGGACTCAAACATATAGGTGTGTTTGGTTTGTGTTTGTAGACTAATTTTTGAGATAAAAAGTATGAAACCTTGTTTGGTTTTTTTTTTTTTTTCAAAAAAGGTTTTAGAAAATTATTTTGGAAAGAGAGTTTTAAAAAAAGTGACTGATTTGATGTGTATGAGAGAGTGAGTGATTTTGAAAAGTAGGTAACCAAACAAAATTTTGAAATTTTTTTTGAAAACATTTGTTTGGTTTGATTATTCTTGAAAATTTGTTTATAGAGAATTTTTCTCAAAAATTTTTCTGAAAAACAAACCAAACAACCGTCTTCTGGATCTTGGGTAATTGAGAGAGATTGACCAAATAAAGCTTCTTTCTTTAAGCAGCAATTGCTTATTAGTGATGAATGCAAGAAGGTACAAATTAGGTTGCATTTATCACCTTAAAACACTGGAAAAGGTTTGGAGGAAACAGTTTCTTCCCAAAAAAAAAAAAAAAAAATCCTGGGCAGGGCCCTCAATTCCCTGACACAACTAAATTCACAAAAGGTAAAGACAATCTTTTTTCTTTTTTCCTCCTCTTTTTTCTAAATTAAATGGACACTCAAACAAAAGCTGCCGCTGCCCAGAAATGGTTCTTTGTTTAACCCCTGCTCTACAGTTAGTCTTTTGCATCAAGACCAATGAAACAGAATTTAGAAAGCTCAAATCCAATTTCACGGTCTTAATGTCTCTTTTTCCAAATGGACCCAAAGGAAGACTTAATCTGGAACTCATCCATGTTCCTTTTTCATAATTTATTTCTCCACAGTGGGGGTTCAGCAATTTTTTTTTTGTTCACCAATCTGCTGACTATTCCTATTCTTTTCCATTGGTTGGGTTACTAAAGCTGGATGAATGAACAAAAATGATTGGAGGCATGGATCAAGGAAAGAACTTGTGCATCAGGTAGTCTTCCTTCAGCATTGGCAACAAGTTATATGTCGCATGGCACTCAATCCTGCGATGCTACATTTGAGTCTTCACATGTTTGAGAACCACCCATTATATTTGGATGGCTCTATCAAAGCCACAACATCTAATGAAGTCCTGCTATCTAGGCATATGAATGTTTTTTGAGAACAAAAGAATGAGTATATAATTGCAATAACAGATGTGGTATCAGGGGAAAAATAAGTCTTGTAAATTGTACCTGACAGAAACCGTCGAACATAAGCTGGTAAAATTGAAACCCACAAATATTACTCTGTCACCTGCATGTTCCATATCTGGACGTCAGCAGGCTAATGTACAGGAAAGTTAAAAATCAGAAGTGATAGTTAAACCTTAGTTGCACGAAGGGGCAGGGGCAGGGGGACCTATGGGAGCGTGTACTGAGTTTATTTTTTTCTTAGCTGCAATTTTTTTTGAACTAGTTCTTAGCTGCAATCTGTATCCACTTTTTCTGCTTAAATCCAAGTGGTTGAATCCATCTGTAGGAACCATGTTGATAAAACAAATTGTGATGGCAGTGCAAATGGTAAGGTCAGTGTCGGAATCAAGTAACAGTACAAACTGCAATTCAACATCTATTATTAGACACGTATTTGTGGATGCACATATCGGAAACTTGTGGCATGTGGTGAACAAATAGCTAAAACTTTTGGGATCATAGGGACTCAAACATATATGTGTGTTTGGTTTGTGTTTGTAGAGTAATTTTTTAGATAAAAAGTACGAAACCTTGTTTGGATTGTTTTTTTTTCAGAAATGGTTTTGGAAAATTATTTTGAAAAGAGAGTTTTAAAAAAATTAATTGATTTGATGTGTATGAGAGAGTGAGTGATTTTGATAAGTAGGTAACCAAACAAAATTTTGAAATTTTTTTTGAAAAAATTTGTTTGGTTTGATTACTCTTGAAAATTTGTTTGTAGAGAATTTTTCTCAAAAATTTTTCTGAAAAACAAACCAAACAACAGTCTTCTGGATCTTGGGTAATTGAGAGAGATTGACCAAATAAAGCTTCTTTCTTTAAGCAGCAATTGCTTATTAGTGATGAATGCAAGAAGGTACAAATTAAGTTGCATTTATCACCTTAAAACACTCGCAAAGGTTTGGAGGAAACAGTTTCTTCCCAAAAAAAAAAAAAAATCCTGGGCAGGGCCCTCAATTCCCTGACACAACTAAATTCACAAAAGATAAAGACAATCTTTTTTCCTTTTTCCTCTTTTTTCTAAATTATATGGACACTCAAACAAAAGCTGCCGCTGCCCAGAAATGGTTCTTTCTTTAACCCCTGCTCTGCAGTTAGTCTTTTGCATCAAGACCAATGAAACAGAATTTAGAAAGCTCAAATCCAATTTCACGGTCTTAATGTCTCTTTTTCCAAATGCACCCAAGGGAAGGCTTAATCTGCAACTCATCCATGTTCCTTTTTTCATAATTTATTTCTCCACAGTGGGGGTTCAGCAATTTCTTTTTTTTTTTTGGTTCACCAATCTGCTGACTATTCCTATTCTTTTCCATTGGTTGGGTTACTAAAGCTGGATGAATGAACAAAAATGATTGGAGGCATGGATCAAGGAAAGAACTTGTGCATCAGGTAGTCTTCCTTCAGCATTGGCAACAAGTTATATGTCGCATGGCACTCAATCCTGCGATGCTACATTTGAGTCTTCACATGTTTGAGAACCACCCATTATATTTGGATGGCTCTATCAAAGCCACAACATCTAATGAAGTCCTGCTATCTAGGCATATGAATGTTTTTTGAGAACAAAAGAATGAGTATATAATTGCAATAACAGATGTGGCATCAGGGGAAAAATAAGTCTTGTAAATTGTACCTGACAGAAACCGTCGAACATAAGCCGGTAAAATTGAAACCCACAAATATTACTCTGTCACCTGCATGTTCCACATCTGGACGTCAGCAGGCTAATGTACAGGAAAGTTAAAAATCAGAAGTGATAGTTAAACCTTAGTTGCACGAAGGGGCAGGGTCAGGGGGACCTATGGGAGCGTGTACTGAGTTGTAATATGTGTGCTAAAATATGGATAAATATTTGAGATTAACGTCAATTACAAATCGTCTTTGTTCAAGTTATGTATAAATTAAAATTATGTAAATAGAAAGTATTAGAATAATTTAAGTTGTTTTCCTTTTATTTCTTTCAAATTTCTATGTTTGAGAGGTTTTATCTCAGTTGGAAGCAAGTTTCTTCCTTGACAGGAGTGAATTTCTCACAAGTTTCTTACTTAGGAGTGCAAAATCGCAGTTCTAAGTAAAAACCACCACCTAAGTAAGAGTTTCTTGCTATAAGAGTAAAGCCTTGTTGACGGCACAAGCAGAGACATACCACTTTTGAAACATCGACTCTTAGTTTTTTTTGGACAATGGAACACGTAAAGCTGCATTTGAAGAGTGTAGCATATCCCCTTTTCCAACTGAAGGGACTATGCCCTGAATATATTGAACAACTAGAAGGCGTACTTCTTGGCCAATACCACCTCAAGTATTTGCTTTGGCCCCATTGTAAATGAACACTGCAACAAATTAGTATAACTGATTTTACTAGTTCACAAGTCTCCATCTTCACTAATCATATCACAAAATAAATAAATAAAAATTGCAGGTAGAAACTACAATAAATAAATAAGTCAAACATTGAAGCAGAAGTACTTCAATTAGTTTATTTGAATTGGAAAGGTATGCCACTTACAGATAGATACAAGCGGCTACGAAATACAAGCAATTTAGCCCTGAAGTGATGATCAAGTGCCTTTGATAACTTCTCCTGATATATCTCAGAACCTGTAAAATGTTTGCAAAGAACTTTATGCATTGTAGTAGTAAATTTTGAGTAAGAGTGATCGTAAAATGTTCTAGGACAAGGAGATGGTCTTGTTCACCAGCAGGACCAGACAGCAAAATTCTTGGGCTTACAGCGGAATCCTTGGACTCATTATGCTTTATGTGTAGAACAAAGGATGCCAATAGATAATATTTTGTCCTGTCACTGAAAGAAATGGAAAATTGAAATTTCCATTACTAGCCTGCAATAAAGTATTAAAACCCATGGAAAACCATAGCAGCCCCTATAAATGAGACTAAGATAGTCAAGCAAATGAGCTTAAATTAGAACCACAAAGTACAATTGTCGATCAAACTGTTGCATAGGAAGAAAAGGGAGCAGGTAACCGTAACTGGAGAACATTTACGTTAAACAAGTTCTTAAAGATGAACAAGCACATTCAGTACACTACAAGGGTATAATGGCATCTCAACACTCCAAGAAAGTTTACCAATGGTCCCACATTGTGAAACCACTACATAGATCAAATGGCTGAAGTAGCTTAACATCTGAAAATAGCTTTCTCAAGGAGCTACAGTAATGGGGAAAAAATCAGGAAAGCATATTCAGGTCAAGAAGTTAAGATTTAAAGCATATATGTATTCTAGTCTCTCACAAATTTTGGTATTCCTTTTAATACTGTTATTTCAGGAAAGAAGAAACAATAAAAAATAAAAATTTCACAATTAAAACCCATGGAAACCATAGCAGCCTTTATTATTGAGACTAACATAGTCAAGTAAATGAGCTTAAATTAGAACTACAAAGTACAATTGTCGATCAAACTGTTGCATAGGAAGAAAAGGGAGCAGGTAACCGTAACTGGAGAACATTTACGTTAAACAAGTTCTTAAAGATGAACAAGCACATTCAGTACACTACAAGGGTATAATGGCATCTCAACACTCCAAGAAAGTTTACCAATGGTCCCACATAGTGAAACCACTACATAGATCAAATGGCTGAAGTAGCTTAACATCTGAAAATAGCTTTCTCAAGGAGCTACAGTAATGGGGAAAAAATCAGGAAAACATATTCAGGTCAAGAAGTTAAGATTTAAAGCATGTATGTATTCTAGTCTCTCACAAATTTTGGTATTCCTTTTAATACTGTTATTTCAGGAAAGAAGAAACAATAAAAAATAAAAATTTCACAACTGTTATTAACAATAATATTTAAAAATACTTTTTCATCAGATATGCCCATAACGAACTAATAACTCAAGTCAGCTTTGGAAGTTATTCAAAAGTCAAACATCATGGTTTGATAAAATTCAGGAGAAGTAAATATGGCTAGGCAACATATTTGAATTTGATGACAATAATTTAATAAAGAGATTTAAATAAGTGCAGTTTATAGAAATATAACCCCTTGTGGTCAATGGTAAGTCAACAAAGACATGACTGAAATTCATCAACATATCAAGATAATCATTAGTTATTCCAATTAAAGAAATTTCAGCACTCAGTTTCAAATTCAAAGTCAAGATAATCACCACATTTGACTTTTTTTGTTCCTCCACCTATAAGAAAATAAATAGGATGATAAGCTCGTGTGGACTCTGTCTACTGATGGACTGTTCTCTATGAAATCTGCTTGGACTGCATGGAGAGTCTCTTGTGAGGAAGTTGAGTGGTCTAATTTGGTTTGGAGTGATGTGACTGTTCCTAAGGCTAGCTTTATTACTTGGTTGGCCATCCAGAATAGATTGAATATGGGTGATAGGCTGAAATTGTTTGGTAAATTGGTATTTCCCCTGTTGCTACTTGCTCATTATGCTTTTACCAAACTGGGGACCACTCCCACTTGTTTTTTAACTGCCCCTTCTCTGAGAAAGTGTGGATGAATATTAAAACTAAGATCAATGTGGCTTGGCCTGTGTTAAATTGGACAGGGCTGGTGTCTTATATTGCTAAATCTGTTAAGGGTAATTCTCTTGGCTCTATTATTTCCAGGATTGCTCTAAATTGCACTGTTTACCTCATTTGGCTTGAGAGAAATAATAGATTTTTAACCAAAGAGAAAATTCCTGAAGAATTTCTTGTTTTGAACATTTTTAATATGGTTAGATTTAGAGTGTTGTCTCTGAAGAATTTAAAATGACATTCAAATGATTCATGGTTTTTAGCTACTTGGAGACTGCCCTCATCTATCCTTAGGGGTGATACTCCTTAATGTTTCAATGGGTATCTCTAACAGATTTTGCAGGTGGTCCTCTCTCTTTTCTGGTTGCTGGTATACTTGTTATGGTGTTGGAAGTGATTGAATAGAGCAGTGAGTTGAGTGTGGTGTGATTCCGTAATCAGGGTTGAGTGAACTGTGAGCTTATATGATTTTCCTAACAATTTGTTATGCAGGTTGTCCTGCTGGCCCCTCTTAGGGATTGAGGGTTGAGTGTGATGTGAGTATATAGTCAAGTGCTGGTCTTAGTGAGCTTGTGGGTTAAGTGTTGTGAAATTTTATAAGAGTGCTCCTAACTTTGTTTTCTTGCAGGATTATGTCAGTTGCTGGCACAGTTGTAGGGAATTCATTGGTGAGAACCTAGTGAAGTGAGGATATATTTTTGACTTGGTTTAGATATGGTTCTATAACCTGTTTCTTTGAGAGTGACTTTGCTATTGAGTGTTGAGATTGTTAGTAAGTATTTGAGTGAGGTTTGCCTTAGGTTATTTAGCATATCCTCAATCTTGCATCAGTTCTTTTTTGTTCTTTCTGTTTTTGTTTTCACAGGTTGTATTGATGCCTCTGCTAGAATTGAGGGCAGTTCATTTTGGTGCTGGGCTTATATTTCAGCTAGGGGACTTGATCAGTTATATTTGTCTTGAAGTGTTGGAGATTGTCAGTGGGCCAGGCAGCACTTTTCTGCACCAATTCCAACACATATCTGCTGTCATGCCAGGTGAGGAAGCAGTTTACGATGGTGAAAGTTATCCCGAAGGCAACCAAGATGAAATGTTGGAGCCGTGGTTCACTTGAAGACTTAAACTAGTAGTTTTTTTTACTTTGACTTTTGGTAAGTCAGTGTTTGTAATCCTATTACGGAACACAAATGAATTAACTATGGTGTTAACTTTACTTATATGTGAGATTGTCAGTGGGCCAGGCAGCACTTTTCTGCACCAATTCCAACACATATCTGCTGTCATGCCAGGTGAGGAAGCAGTTTACGATGGTGAAAGTTATCCCGAAGGCAACCAAGATGAAATGTTGGAGCCGTGGTTCACTTGAAGACTTAGACTAGTAGTTTTTTTTACTTTGACTTTTGGTAAGTCAGTGTTTGTAATCCTATTGCGGAACACAAATGAATTAACTATGGCGTTAACTTTACTTATATGTGTATATTAAGATGTTTGGTTATCTATCCTGTTTGAGTTGTTTTATGTACTCTATTTTTTTTTTTTTTTTGGTCATGAGGGCATCACATGCTCCTATGGATAGTCGTTGTCTTAATTTCCTATGGATTGTATTTGTATTAATTACTGGACAGTCTATGTTTTGTTTATTTATCTGGTTGTAAGATTTGGCTATCTCCTACGGGCTGTGTAGGGGTGGTTTTCTTCACAGGGCTGTTATGGCAATTTGGGTCTATTTTGGTTCTTGTTCATGGCCCCCCTTCTTTTTTTGGATGGGGGTTATGAACAGGATTATATGGTTCGCAGCCCGGGTGGTTTGGCTAGTTTAGTTGTTTTTGTTCTGTGGGTTTTTATTTTGTATAGCTCTTGTTAGGGCCTAGGGTATGCCCCTTGTATATCTGTATAGTTTGCTTGTTTTATTTTACGACTTATTCACCCAAAAAAAGAAAATAGAATTGGACCTAAACCAAACCAATATAGTTTGTGGTCGATAAAAATAAAATAAAAATTAAAAAAACAAATATAGTTTGGGTTTTCTCTCTAACTATAAAAAGGGTTGTCCTAAGGAGAATCCAATCATAAAAACCTTGAAAAACACAAAATGTTGTAGTGCAAACTTGGGGCTCTGTTGTGTAGGGGTTGGAGTTAATTCACCTCTTCATGTGGAGAAGTGGTGGTCATTGGCATTTCCTATTTTAAGTTTTAATTTGAATGTGACTGATTTATACAGTGAAATTTGTTACTTTTTGTGTTAATATTTGGAAAGACAATATGCGAGATTTCAATTTGTGATTATTGTGACCTGATGCTTAGGTGCATTTAATAATTTTCTTTCATGTGGTATGCATTGTGTATCTCTCAAGGTTAAAGATCCTCTGTGCCGAATCTCTCTATCCTCCCACTTTAATGCAAACGTGATCGTTAGATTATATAAAAATCTTAAAATATGTGAATATTAAGATATGATTCTATGATTCGATAATTAAGAATACATTGTGATTTAGGGGTAGAGAATCACAAAGTCAGCCCTGTTAAGTTTGAATATGTGGTCATAATTATTTTGGAATTTTCCAGTTTGAGATTTCAGCAGTATCAGGTTGTTGAATATAGAATAGTTTGGATTCCACAATTCACAGTGGCCATGCTTTGAGAAGCATTAGTGACCACATTTTCTGGTGTGTTTACATTTTGAATTTATGAAGAGATTGAGGTTCAAATATTGATCGCAACATATACTCTAAAACTTAAACATTTCCTATAAACTTACAAGGAACTCATTCCAATTGAAACACTTAGAAAACAAAATAAAATATTTATTGAAACTAGTTCTAATCAAAAGAAGAAACGCCCTAAAATTTTTTAGCAGCTTTTGAGGAATTTTACAAACAGAGATATCAAAAGTAGGAACTGCTACATCTGGCTGTGAACTATCTTCAGGTTGATAGTTGCTGATATATTCCAAAAGTAAGAATGCACAAACAGGACTTCTGTAACTAAATTCAGTATTCAGAAAGAAAATTTAAGGAACACAGAATCCATTTTATTGCATGCGTGGGCACTATATCTGAATGTGACATAGTAATAGGGAGACAAACATGGCTGAATTGAAAACCCAATATGCTATTAATCTATTTGTGTATATATTAAAGAGAGAGAGAGAGGGAAAAAAAAAAAAGGGATAGAGGGTTTTTCTCCTTCTTGTTTGGTTCCTTTGAAATCCCCAAAATTATAAGCTTGAGTTTTTATAATGTAGCTCCAAATTCCAATTCCAAAAGGGGAAATTACAGGAAGGAGCAAATCCCATGGTGATCCTAAGCTTCCAAGCAATAGTAGTCCAGTTTCCAACAGTTAAGCATGCATCACACAATATTTCCACACACCACATTCAATTATTCAATTAAAGAGATCCTTAATTTTTACCCAAAAAGAAAAGGAAAAAAATTATTTCAACCACCAACACCGGCTAGGGGAGCAAAGGAGAGCAGAGGAGAAAAATACATTGATGCCGGAGGGAGAACCAGTGGGAAGTCTCCGCCGTTACTGCTACAAGCAGTTCATGAGGGTAACGCGAGAGCGAAAGCGAAAGCGAGAGCGAGAGCGAGAGCGAGAGAGAGAGAGATTGTTAGGGTCTGTGCGAGCGAGTGTCAGAGGAAAGAAGAGGAGAGGAGAGGAGCGTTACCTGGAACTCTTCCCACACTGGTGGTGTTAGGGCTGCCAGACACAGAGAGATGACTGGGAGCGAAAGAGACGGAGTGAGAAGACGAAAGGGCTTTTTTTTTCTTTTTTGATCTGAGAAGAGAATACTGAAAGGATAGGGAAGAGCAGGAAAAGAGAGAGGGCGAGGGAGAGCAAAAATATAACATTTTGCGACAGAGGAACAAAAGCGTCGCAAACAAATTAAAACAATCGCAAAAAGAAAAAAAAAAATTGATGTGTAACAAACCGTTGCATATAATTTTATTTTTTGCCACGATCTTAGATTTTCTGTCGCAAAAAAATTAATTGGACGACGACTTCATTTGTCGTGGCAAAAACATGATTTTTGCGACGATTTTCAAACCGTCACAAAAGGTTCCGGGTCCAAAGCTCCCTTTTCTAGTAGTGTTACAAGTAGTGTTATATCAATTTCAGTGAAAACAATTGTCATAATTCATTTCAAAGCATAAAGGATTGTAACGTAAAAGTAGCAATACAAGACATTATTTTTAAGAGTAATGCTATGTGGACGTTTATAGTCCTTCATTTCAATTTAACACACCGATCATATTAGCTCATAATTAAAATTGTTATTGCTATATATATGTTCTTGACTACAACATAATTGACTTTCTACGACATGTAATGCATGTCACAAAAACTCTTTCACGATGTGCACCTGAAAGTCATGTTAAGACATATCTCGAAAAGGCTATTTATTGTTAATGGCATTAATGGCAGCCGTAAAATGTAATAAAATATATCGTGAAAAACTATTGACAATGAAGTGGCCTGGGTCAGAAAGCTCGACCCATTTTTTTTTTTGGTTGGGACACAGGGTTGTCCCAGGTGACTTTGACCATACTTGGTAAGTTTGGACCTTGGGAACGCCTCGGGTTGGCTTCGGAACAGCAATCCAGAATCTCTGTCTTTGGTTGGTCACGCTCACGACCAATGGGGTCACACCCACGACAAGGCTAAGGGTGGGTTGTGCTCTTGAAGGGCCGCGACCAAAATGGCCTTCAGGTTTGTTGGCCTGTGGTGGAAATGTGTGGCCCGCGATGGATTACGTGGGCCACGATGCCGGTTCGTGACCTTCATAGTCGCGATCGCAGAGCCTTGGTAGCACCCACGACCTCGTGTGTTGTCTCGGTCGCACCCGCGGTGTTCATGATTGTGTCCGCGATCAGTCTTATATTTAAGTTGTCAATGTGTGGAAAATACGACTTTTTCATATCTTTTCTCTCTCTTTGCTCTCCCTCTTGCTATTTTTGACCCATTTAAGGTTTCAAGCTTGGGTTCATCTATATTTATCTATTTTCTACCCATAGTTCCACAGACTAAAATGTAGAGCTTGGCAAGGTCTTCCATTTAATCTTAACGGATCATCTTTTTGTTGTCAGCGATTTTCTTCTCTTCGTTTCAAGAGGAAGGGTCTATTTCCTTAAATCAATATGAATTTGATAGTATATATGTGGTAATTTCGATTTCGTTATATTATTGTTGGGTTGAATTTGAAAGTTATGTTTAGATGGTTAAGGGCTTTGCTAAATTGGCGGTTATTTTGTTATAATTTTGCTATTAAATCTATTTTTGGTATATAAAATTGCATGTGGGTGTCTAAACGTAGAAAAGCCCCAATTTGTGAAAACCCCTAAATGTCAAGGTTGTGAGGGTTGGATTTTTGGAAAAGGATTTGGTTGGATTTTGGAGAAGGATTTGGTTGGGAAATATGTTTAAATTTTTTTGAAAATAACGAGTCTTGAGTACACTTTTGAAAATGTCAAATTTATTGAGAAAACTATATAAGTTTCGAATATGTGATTTTGAAATGTTGGATTGTATATCTGTATTGTTATCCTTTATTTATTTCATTAAAGATAACTGTTTTGGCTATCGATGGAAGATAGTATTATTGTGTGTTAGAATTGCATGTGACTAGGAAATTGGGTTATTTATGAACCATACATATCATGATTCATGTCACAGATTTGGAACTCAAAATTGTATACTTTGAAAATAATTGTATCATTTTGAGAAAAATGGGTGAACACCGTGTGGAATCTGGGTAGGGAGTGCATTGTGGTTAATTAAGTTGGCTTATATGTCCTTGGTAAAAGTCTAGAAACCCGTGCGGTTAGGTGACAATTCTTCTGGATAGTACCGGTAAAATGGCAATTGTAGTGCTTGTATAGCCTACGTTTACATGGGTGCCAATCTCGCTGGCAAAATTCTAGTGAAATGGCAATCTTAGTAGTGCTTTTATAGCCTACTTTTTATGCGCATACCTAGAGATTCCCAGTGTTTGTATTTACCACCACATTTTCTATTTTAAAGGGAATAACAATAGATTATGATTTGAGCATTGGAATTGTTTAGCAATTTATTTGCTTTTGGTTTAACAATGTATTTGCTAGTTGATATTGTGGTTTATGGAAGTGTTTTGGAAAGTGATTTAACCAAACAAATTATTTTGACATCAAAAAACATTTTGAACAAACAAAAGGCATTGGTAATTGGAAAGAAAGAATTTTGTTGAGAAATCTCATGTGTTTTGAAAATGCATTGAGCATATTATATATGTATAGCATCATGATCATTTATGCTAGTGGAACGTATTTAGTTTTTGGAGTATACTATAATGGGCTTTATACTCACCATACATGGCTGAAAACATTTTCAAGTGTACGGCATTTTTGGATATGGACATTGGGCGTTGGATATGTGATGGAGCTGAGTAGGATTGCTCTTTATTTGTAGACCTTAGGCCATTTGTAATTGTTTAGTAAGCCGAGTACCATTTTTGTAAGAGTTACACCCATTTGTATATGATTTGAGCCTTTAGGCAATTTCAATTATATATGACATCATTGTATGTTTTATAAAAAATAAATAAATAAATAAGAGCATTCATTTCACTTAGATGTTGAATGTAGGGTGTATGGAATCAGATGAATTCATGTATTGTTTGAATTTATAATATTCGTTTGCATGAGAGATGTTATTTTCTTTTATCATATTACTGCCTTTTATTTATCGTTTATAGGTTTATTCACGTGGGTTGGATCTTGAAAAAATCTGAAATGTGACAATTTGGTATCAGAGCTAACTGGGTTTGAAAACCTTGGGCTCGTGGGAAGTGGTTAGCCATAATGGGTTTATCATGCTTAGTGAGAACATCTGCTTGTGGTGTGCTAAGTAATAACATACTTATGTGTTGCAGTTTATGTGGGTATGATGTTGAGACTCATAAATATATTTTGGGTCTAGTTGACTAACTTGGAGATCTTATCAGAAACGTGCTTGATCGACATTGTTTCTAATAGAAATTCTAAGAGAGTGCTAGAACAAATAACTATCTTGGTAGACTTAGCTCGATTATGTATTAAGTGTTATGTGGCAGATGTTATGTAATTTGAATGGAGTCTCAACATGTTTGTTTGAGTAATTGGTTGTGTTGGTTGTATTGTATGAGTGTTTTGATTATGGCTGTTAATGTTGAGTATCCTAGATTTTGTGTTTAATTCTTTTTGGAGGCGTTGTGGAAGTGAGTAGTAAACTTTGAGTGCGCATTCTGGTATGTGACATATATGTTATGTGTTAGTGGTGTTTAGGTTGTTGTTATCGACTTGCCTTTGGTGGCGGGTGGTACATCTTTGCAAGATGTTGGTGTTTTGAGTTCCTTACGTGATTGTACACGATGGTTGAGTTGTTACATTCCCTTGAGTAACATTGTGTAGGATTTGGTGTTAGTTGTTAGTATTTGGACTTGGTGTGTCTTCGAAACTAGTTATGACCTTGGTTGGTTAGAGGAATAAGGTGTGGTGTGGGGAGTGCTACCTAATAGATGTGTGGTTATTTCTAAGTCTTGTGACTAGTTGAAGGGGTGTAAGTGGTGCTAGAGTTTTGGAGCATGTTGAGTTTAGGGAATTGAACTCTCGTGTGTTCGTCGTGTTGGTGTAAGTTTTTAACTTTGGTGTTGGTAACCTAAAAGTGTATGTTGCGATGTGTGATTGAATAGGATGTGGGCTATGGTTTTTAATTTCCCTTGGGTTTAGTGGAGTTAGTGTGCCAGTTGAGGCCTAAGTTTTCTCATTGTAGATGATTTGTGGTTGGTTGAAATAGGTGGAATTGTTTTCCCTATAATAGGTAAGGCAGTGAGGTAAATACCTGATAAGGTTTATAGTTGCTATTGAGCAATTCAATGAGGCATGGTGTGCACTAGGACTTTATAGATGGCTTGGTTGGTGTTGGAGTTATTGTTCTCATGGCGTATTGTCGCAGTGGGCTTGTTTAGGTTCTACCTAAGGTCATGTTGATGTGAGTGTTGGGATATAGTATCCATGTTGGTGTTTGACTTAGGAATCTTTTACTGAATGTGATTTCATTCTAAGAGGTTTAGGATTATTGATGAGTCAGGTGTAAATTTTGTTTTCTGTCTAGACATAGAATTGTACCCTAATTGTAGAAAATGATAACGGGTCTTGTAGTGTGTGTTTGATCATTCTTTGAAAGGAGATGTTGATTTCTTATTTTAATTCTTATTGTGGTGTGTTTGGTGGGTGGTGTGTTTCGAACACATTATGTTATGTTTTCAGGAGTAGTATGGAGAACCTTTCTCCTAAATCCTAATTGTTGTATCCGAGTAATGGAGGTGTGTACCTCGTTTTCGGTTGAAATAGGAAGCGTCTTGGAGAAGTTGGTTAGGTATATAACCCATGGTTGGTGTTGTGACCTATACTTAGTGTCACAGTGGTATTGTGTTTTGTTGGTAGCAGTTTTGCCGATGGCATTAGGGATATGATTGTCCCTCGAGAGAGCTGACATGAAATATCATAGGGTAGTTGAGAAAGTAGTTGGGGAGGTTGAGTTGTGGCTCGAGTGATAGGGGAGATTCAATGCTCTTTTTGTATTTCGTGGTGTTGGGATAGTAGGACTTTTGAAGGTTTACAAGTGATACGTGTATCTTTGGTGGTTGGTTCAGGGTGTTTGTCTAGTAAATGTTAGGGAACTAGTGAGTTGGCCATGGAAATAGTATTCTTGTTAGTTACTTGTGCGATGTGTGTTAGTGTAGTGTGTTGAACCAAGGTTTAACCTTATCGGTCATTGAGGGGTTGAGGC